GTTAGATAAGCAACATCGGTCGCTTGCGATACTGAAACTGCCTGTTTTAACTTAGGCTTCTCTTTTACGGTGTCGAAATACGTGACATATCCTTTTCCTCTTTATTATGAACTATGTTTACTTGATTTTTTTTCCAAAGTCTAATAATTCTATTCTTCGCTGACTAGATATATACTAAATAAATACGTCTCTTTTTGACATATTGGCGGTTAACTGCAACTAGCGTTTACGTTTGTTGTTCGTTTTGACGACCTTTAACCAGTGTAGAGAGAGTAACTTTAGATGTCGTACTCAATATGTACTAATTCTATTATACTTTGCATCGTATTTCCTCGCTACTGTTCTTCATTTACTAGTTTATTCTTATAAGGTTCATTTTAATATCCTCAACTGCCGTTCTCAGAAGGCATTGCGTTTCCTTTTTCCTTGTTCTTGCTCACTTCTCTGAGAACCATGGCATATCATAACACTTGAGCAGAACTACCATATATCGTAATAATCTTCCCTGTTGTTACAATTCATGTATATATGAGTTCAACGAAGCCAAACGCTTCTCTACGATTATGTACCATGCATGCAAGCAGCAAGATCCTGCACATCGCCTTGCATTGCAACTTCCCATAAAACGGGACGTGGTAATGGCCTTTATCTCCGCACAGCGAGGCTCCGGCGATGGCCAGGCAGGAGGCAGTGGAATTCACGGTGACAGAGATCGGGATGTATGTGGTGACTGCACAGATTCTCAGCCCGAGATGTAATAACTGCACATTCCTCTCGGTTTCCCCTCTGTTCGGTAAGTTCAGTATAGGTAGCTGTGTAAGTGAGTAATGCTTGACAGTCAAACTCTCATGCATGCATACGTTCAAACATATGTATATATACATGCATACTTATATGTATGTACGAGTATGTACCTACATACATACATGCACAGATGCTATAATCTGCTGGTTCTGGCAGATATTTTTTTATGGCCGGATGCCCTTCCTGATAACCTTTATTTACATGGATTTGTGGCCCGCACTTACTCGATTTGCCCACCCTGTGGCTAGGTTGTTATTGTTATTATTATTATTATCATTGGTAGTTTTATTGTTATGATTATCATTATTATTGTTTTTATTGTCATTATTATTATTGTTGTCATGGTCGCGACCAGAACTGGGTCGCGAACCGGACTTTGAAGAACCCAGTCATTTACTTAAAAACGCCCACACACAAAGTATATTAATGTACTCAGGACTACCAATGTACGCATGAAATCCCATGCATGAATCTTCCTACTTCACAGACTTTCAGTCCATTTACATTTGTATGCAAGACCTGTCATCTGAATTAGAAATTCTAGTAAAGAATACTGCAATGGAATAAAGCTTGTTAAGAAGGTTCCTTTTAATCTCTCTTAATGACCCTCTCTCTCCTCCTGCGACAACCAAATTGTGCGAGGGTTGGTGGATAAGGAAGGTTTCCAATCGCGTGACGTTGCTATAGAAGCAGAGATAGAAATATATTTGCACGTGCATTTAGTAACGTGCTTGACCCTGTTCCAACGTACTGGTCTCAGATCGTTGCATGGCGCCACTGAGGAAAGGCGCTTATTGTTTTCGAGTATTTTATCGCCATTACGGATAAATCATGCAGCGATCCGTTTTAGAAAATTCGGGCGCTGGAAGGTTGGGCGCCCATTGACATTTAGACAAGTATGGAAGCAGTTCATGACGATGTTTCTTAGGGTTGAGACATTTCTGCGATCCTGTGCGAACACTCAGGCAACGTCTTCGCAGAGTAAGGAAACGGAAAGCACAATGACGCAAAGCCGCGCTACAGCCACCAAGCGTCGGAAAACAAGGTCTATATAAGTACTTATATAGACCGTGTCGGAGAAGGCGTGAAGGCTGAGCTGGACGAGAGGATGACGATACAAGCTTCAATATACTATCTGGTCTACGAGCTAATTTTTTTTGCTTGTCTATCATTCAACCTTTGTGTACATCTGTGTGTGTGTATATATATATGTGTGTATATATATGTATATATATATATATATATATATATGTGTGTGTGTGTGTGTGTGTGTGTGTGTGTGCGTGTGTGTGCTTAAAACTGAAAATTGAGAGAACTGCCAAACACCTTCCCAACATGGAAAATTATACTCAATTCACACAAGATACAGCTAACGATTTTATCACTGCGACGCATATCACTGGCTTACTTTTTCGAATCCAAATTTAAAAAAAATTATGCGCCCTTGCCCACCGAATAGAAAATAGTTACGTGGTGCAGCTCGAAAGAAGGAGCCCAGCTACCTCTTTCTGCCTCTGGGTTATTTTTGCTTTGGGTTTCCAGACCAGAAGCACTTTGGCATCGTTTTTTTTTTAGCACAGTAATGGAGAATGCACAGAATCTGAGTGTGAACGAGGCAAAGGTGCGGTTATCATTTGGTTTCAATCATAACTATAGACAGATGATAAATGATGTAAAATCAATAAATAGAAGCAGT